TTTATGGATGGAAGATAAAGAAGATGATTGGCAATTCAGAAACTCAGAGGTGTTTAAGAAAAAACTGAAATATTTGACATCAGATCTCAACTTCGAAAAAGGTGTTCTTTAATTCAAAAACTGGAGGAAATGACTTTCATAACCACACATGGAAACTTATAACAGCATTGAAAACAGGCCATAATCATGGCCTGTTCTTCATTGCTATTGCAGGAATTATTTTTTCTAAACTATTCACATACTTGTATTAAATCTTATATTCCTCTATACTATTTATGGTACACATAACAAAATTTACTCTAAGTATTTTTGTGACTCTTGAATTTTATTGTGTGCATCTTTTTCTAACAACAATTGTTTGCTTTATGCTAAACATAAAGTAAGGATTCATGATGGAATAAAAACTACCCCCAAAGATGCATCCTCATTATTAATTTATAATTTAATGTTCTTACCATCCAAAAAATTAGAAGTTCAAGCAATGAAATCTAAATGCAGTGTGGTATGTGTGTGTGGTATAAATTACAATGGAAAATGACAATGATTTCCTGAGATAAATTGTCAGTTCTTAATAATGTACAAATATAGATCATAAATTCTTTAATTGAAAGATGAGATAAAATATATATGAAATACAGATGGCTTTATAATTCTGAGAAATTCCTTACCATATTTTTATAATTAGATGGTTTGTGTGAAAAGAATTGATTAAGGATATGTTATTGTCAATATTTCTTATGTTTTCATACACATGCACACACACACATTCTTTTTTTATAAGTTTAGGTAAAAGAACTTTTCTAGTTATACTTTCAGAAATCGTTCAAATGTATACACTGTGGAAAACCAGCAGGAAATATAAAATGATTCAGATACCATTAGTTTGTTTTCTGCTAGAAAACATGTAATGTCCCTCTTATTAATCTAAAGCTTTGAGGGTTTCTGTCTTTTCACCCAGCAACTCACCTGTCACAAAACCAAAAGAAAGGTCTGTTTTAACTTCTTGTTTCCTAAAATTTGGATGAATGAATGGCTTGAAGAATAGATGATTCCCATAGCTTAGAAAAACAAGAGGACAGGTTTGTTCTGCAGCCTATTAGAAGTCCAAACCAATGTGATTATAGACAGAAAGTAAATGGCAAATAACATGAAAAAGGAGATCACAGTTTGCAAAGCTTTTATGTGGACCTTTCTGTTGGAATCTTGAGATATTCTGCCATAAAGCCGTATCTTCTTGAGATGTTTATACAGAAAAAAGATTAATAGCAATAAAGATATCAGGGACATAGTAAAGCATATGAAGTTTGCTAGCGTAAATACAGTCCTATCTGAAAGGTGTACAGTGCTCCCCAATTTGATCTTCCAAGTCGTGTTTCTTTCATATTCTTTTGTCCCCGTACTCTCATCCATGTTTACCACTGCAAGGCGACAAACCAAAAAGACCAAAGTCCCCAGCAGTATCACCAAAACTGCACTCTTAACTTTCCTCTTTTAGGTAAACAAAAATTGGGCTGGAGAAATTGGCAATCTTGAGCAAATAAAATATACTGAGGCTAGTAGCAAGCCAGATGCTAAAATGGTTGGTTACTGCCCAGGCGATATGAGCAATAATTCTTGCTTCTACATTATATAAATCTGGATTACACACATTTCAATGCCAATTTAATGTTACCTAGAGTAAACCAATTCTGGTGACTGCCAGAGCCCCGAGAATTTGATAAGCTGTGGAGAAATTCTTCCTCTTGATCCAGTCAATGAAGTTTACCAGTGCTATTAAGCCACTGGTAAAATTTCCAAGAACAAATTCTACCAGTGCTAGGATGGAAAAATAATAGGTATAAAACTTATGTCTGAACAGGAAAAAGAAAAAAGAAAATGCAGGCATAATATCATGGATTGTGATTCCTTTAATATCCTGACCTTAAATTCTATGTGCATTTCATTTCTAAATGTGCAGTAATGTTCTTTTTCCTTTTGATTTCAGTGACCAGTGTCAAGCAGGAAAACACCAGGGTATACCAATGGATGAGTTCAATGCTGTCTATATGGAAAACACTGTTATTACCAAACAGCTCAAGTTAACTCTTATTCATACACTGTTTTTGCTATAGCTGGAAAATTTCATAGCTGATGAAGTGAAAATTGAAATCTCATTGGCTATCATGCAAATAAAGACATATTCTCTTTCATTGTTTTGCATTTTTTTCTTTCTATAACCTCTCCATAATTTGTGTTCTGCAACTTTAGCTGTCAGTTAGGAAAATTTTAAAACCCAGTACATATAACAACCTTCCATTTAAATCAGAACTTGCTTTGCACATCAAAATGTCTTTCTAAAAAACACTAATGACCAAGTAACCCTATTATATCTTCTCTTACTCATGTCACTTCCCTGTATCAGCTAACCACTTATGCTAAAAATGACAGCAAAGAAAGAAAAGTACAGGACAACTGAGTTTCTTCTCCTTTCAGTACTTCCTTACACATCTGTAAGGCAAAGGCAGGGTGTTGATACAGTGTGTGCACGTCAAGAAGTGAAATAGAAGTAGCTGAGTTAGTTTTGTGCAATGTTTCTACTGTTTTGGTAAGAACAATACACATATGCATGGACAAACTACAAAATACAAATTGTGGGATTTCAGCAATTCTGCACACAAGTTCAATGCTCTGATGTTTGCATTTAAAGTTGGCATTCCACAATACAAAGATGAACAGTAAAATTCATGCCGATAATTGCCACTTCTAAAATTTAATTTCTAAATTTAATTCACACTATAATTATCATTTTCCTTCACTTAGAATGCCATTAAGTTGCAAACAAACACAAGTCAAAAGAGAAAGACTGTAGCAGAAGGAAAAAGAGTCATATTTCAGTACCTTTAACAGTACTTTTTGCTGCTTTTTGAATAAGCAGTCACAGATTTTCATTTTGCCCTGGGCTGCACAAATTATGTAGCCGGCCCAGCCTAGAACCATTGAATTCAAGAACATTATGCCTGTCTAAATATCTACACAGACTTAGACAAGCTTTTACTGACAGCTTTCAAAGCAACCCCCAAATGACCCACCAATGGACTGATAAGATAGTGATTTTTGGTACCGCACTCTTAATTACTGCATTTCTTCCATCCTCTTCTCCCATCCCTGATATCTTTACCACAATGACTCTGCTGAAATGCCACAACCCAATGTCTTTTCAACTAAAGGTCTTTCTAGAAATAATTAAAGTGAAGACTAAAGACGACCTTTCAGGTGCAGCATTTAATCCCAGGCCTTGCCGCTGGACAACTCCTTTCTACAGGGTATTTCCTGGTGCCTCGGTGGTTTTGTTTTAACCAAACCCTGGCTGTGGCTTCAGAACCAGGCTGTTTCTCACCACTCAGAGTGCTCGAGTTTCCCTAAGAAGTTGGTCAGTGAGCCATTAAGTCTGGTTGCCTAAAAATGCCTCCTTTGAATATAGTCAAGTTTTCCTTTGTCTAATTTCTCCACTTTTTTTTTTCTTTTGTACCACTACTTTCTACTTCAGTAAATTAACTTCCTGCGTGGAGACACATCCTGGCAAATGTGTCAGTTTGTACTATTTAGATGAGAGACTTCCCTCATTCTTCAAATTTCTCCTGCATAACAATAATCCCCAGAGCTAGCCTCTCAGAAGCCTGAGGTAACTGTCAATGCATTTCCTTTCACTGCTTCCCGCTCTACAGAAAAATGCAACCGCCTGCAGTGAACCTCCTCGACTCTCATCCCTTCGTTCCATTTCCCCCATCCTTTTTCCATTCCCTCTGAAGATGGGTTCCTATGGAATTCAAGGCTAACCCGCCACCCTTCCCCAGATTTTGAGTGTATCCCTGTCCTTCTCCCCTAGACCTTGCACTCACTCCTTCCTGCCTTTCGCTTCTTTGACATCGTCCTCTCTACCCGCCCCTCCTCACGCCCAAGCTATCTACCCTGTCTCTGCCACTCATCCTCTCTCATGTGGTCCACAAGTTTTTGCACACTAGATTCCACCTCCGCCATGCTACTAAAACTGCTCCCTCCAAGTTCGCGAACTGACCTGGCAGCTGGACCAGGAGCTGTTTCTCAGACCCACCCCTGGGATGATCGCTGCACCGGATGGCACAGACAGCCCACTCATGTCATGGCCACATTTGTCCTCCACTTCTCTGGCGGTTCCTTCTCTATCTCTTTAATAACTTTTCTTCTGCCTTATCATTTCTAAATGTCAAGAGTTCCCTGAAGACTGTGTGCTTGCCTCTCTTTTTATTCTACATACTCTTGTTTGGAGACTTCATCTACCGTCACTGTTTATGTAACTGCGCTATGGGGATGATCCATTAATCTAGGATTTTGCCTAGACTCCAAACCTAAATTTCTAAATTCTTGACTAACATATTTATGTGGATTATATCGATTAACAGTTCTTAATGGCTTTTAATGTGCCAAGTACAGAACCACACCAGAGGCAGGGCTACAAAGTGGTTGAAGATACTGGTCCTGGAGCTGTACCTACCTGAGTTTAAATCCTGAGTCCAACACACACAATCCGTGTGACCTTGGGAAAGTTACTTAGCCTCTCTGTGCCTTAGATTCCTCATCTATAATATGGGAACAATCAAAGTTAAAATATATAAGGCACTTAGAATAGCACCTCATACATAACCAGTGCTATTACCTGTTATTGTTGTTTTATTATCCTAAAAACCTGATGAGACAGGTACTATTATTTTATCCATCTACACAATGAGAAAACTAAGTAGGTTGTCATGAGTCATGATGGAATCTCAAACTGCAGATGTTCAAATCTTTACTCATATTTCCCATTAAAATTCAACTATCACATAGCCAGGCAAGGTGGTACATGCCTATAGTCCCAGCTACAAAGGAGGCTGAGGCAGGAAGATCACATGAGCCCGAGAGTTTGAGGCTGCAGTGCACTATGTTTGTGTCTGTAAATAGCCACCGCACTCCAGCCTGGAAACAGCAAGACATTGTCTCTAAAAAAGTTTTTTTTTTCTTTTAATTCGACTTATTTTCTTTTAAAAACCTATAGTTCATAAATCACTGTAGATCCTATCAAATAAAGTATAACCTATTTTGCTTTAAGAAATATAAAGAAATAAAATTTGGTTGATTATAATGATACTACTGAGTAATATTGTATCTTTCTGGACAGAAAGGTTTAAAATTCTTTTTTGAAAACTGGAACCTTCACCTCCCAAATCTCCATCTCAAATTAGATTATTTCACTTTTCTTAGTTCCACTTGAAAATACAGTAAAGAAAAGATTCAATAGAAAAGGCCCCAAGGGAAGCATAGGACTCATTAATTACATTTTCCAATGCTTAGGATTTTTTGAGTCTTCCTTAACATGGATAATCAAATTACAACATCCATTATGACCTGGGCAAATTTTTAAGTTAAAATATAGTAAGCTGCTATATACTGAGTCTCGAAATAAAGGAGGGTAGAAGGGGGGAAGATCAGCATTTATTTAGGTGTCTTCGCCAATGAACCAAAAACTTACCTTACCTTTAAAAGTTCTAGGTTTCCGTCATTTGCCATGGGAACGCCCTTTTTTACTGGATAACCCATTCTTACAGGAAGAGAGACCGCAGAGGGTTAAAATGGCGCTGCGGCAGGGTAAACGCTAGGCCAGTCTGGTCAACAGTCATTGCCTCTGTCCTAGGAGGGAGTGCCTAAGAAACATAAAATAGTTTCATATTTGAAATAGAAACATTCATTAAAGCGAAAAGCTGCAATTACAAGAAATTAAAGCAGAACTGCAATCTGTGTGGAATCTGACCTCTCACAAAGCTGCTGTTGTTCGAATGGAAAAACACTAAACCTGTCTACATATCTCCGCACGCTCTCCTCCACCCTCTGGCAAGGATCCCCTTTCATGTTACATTTCCTTCACTAACAATTTCTCTATTTATTTACTTAACTAGACTTTTAGCAAAATTTTTACGTTTTGTTTATGAAAGAGTCAGTTAATATATTTTTGAAATAATTTCTAAAACCGCTTTGATGGAAGTCAGTACAACAGGGGACTTTATGAACTCGGAAATAAGGAACATGGAAAATAAAGAAGAAGTACATGGAAATAAGTAAATTAGGGTTAAACTGATTGAATAAATACATAACGAGAACTTATATCTCTCCCAGGCCCAGGGAAAAACTAGTACTTGATAGTTACTCAATCATACTAACTTTTTTAAAAACAAAACTGTATTAAATAGGAAGGGACGGCCAGCATACGAAAGCAGGGTTTAAAGTGGCAAAATTCAACAACTCCCATCTGAGCAATATCAAAACCAGTGTAGTGTATGTCCTAGAAGCGGGTAATATTCCTGTGAAAATGACTGGTCTAGATGACTGTAATTTGGTATCATTTAACTTCCAACTAATGTGCCTTTGTTCTGACTCCATGCTCACCAATTGACCTTATAATTTGGATTCCTCCAGAGAGATGCCCACAGGGTGAGACCAAACTGGTTAGATTCATGCATACATCCTAGACTGCAAGACCGTTACAGACATCATCAAAAATAGTTTTATATTCTGGTTTATACAACTGTTTCCTGGGAGTATGTATGTGCATTAGCCCACCCCTCAAAGATGATCCATTCTTTGGGTATTGACCAAAAAAACAGTCGAAGACTAACCCCAACCAGGGCTGGGGCCTGTAAACAAGATCTCGTAAAGCTTTCTCTGACAGCATCCTCTTGCCTCATGATGAACACGTGTCTCACATTAGAACTGCAGGAACCATTAAGATAGTATATAGTGAAGTATGTAAATTGTTTACCTTTCTTTTCAGCAGCCTTTCAGTTTTGGATGTTTTTTCTGT